GATACTCGGGTGCTTCCAGCTTTTGGCGGCTGTGAATCCAGCTGCTCTGCGCGTGGCTGGGCGAATAGCCCTTTGAGCCCCTGCCTTCGATTTCTTGGGGCAGACACACCTAGCAGTGGGATTGCGGGCTCACACGGGGATTTGATGTTTAATTTGTTTTGAGGAACCATCATCCTGTTTTCCGCCGCGGCTGCCCCACTGCACGTTCCCACCAGCCGTGCGCAAGGTCCCAACTTCTCCACATCCGCCTCCTGTTTGATGTACTCGTCGGTCAGCTGATAGGCCTTGAAGGCCCCCTGTGTGCCAGGCACTCTCCTAGCTGCTGCGGACACAGCCGCGGAGATAGCACTTAGCATCACGACTTAATCTATGAAGAGAAACAGCAGGGAAGGGCGACGGCGAGCAGTAGAGGCCACTTGAGACGGGCTGTTCAGGAAGGGCTTTTCTGAGGAGGTGGCATGTGAGTAGGAAGACTGGAAGAGAAGGGGCCGTGCTGTTACCTCAGGGAACAGCTTTCCAGGGAGAGGGCACAGCCAGTGCAAAGGCCCTGGGGCAGGCCCAGGCCTGGAGTGTGGGAGGAACAGCGAGGAGACCCGTGTGGCTGGAGCAGACGGAGGAGGGGGACAGAGGGAGGAGGGAGGAGGGAGGGCAGGGAGGGGACCGGGCAGGTCGTGCGGGGGGCCTGAGGGGTCGCGGGGAGGACTTGGCTTCTCCCGGAGGGAGGGGGAGCCTGGAGGGCTGCGGGCGGAGGAGGCGGGCCCGACTCAGGGGCTCCGGGCGCCCTCTGGTGGCGGCCGCGGGGAGGACAGGCTGGGGGTGAGGGCGGGAGCCGGGGACCAGGGAGGAGGGCCCGGCGCTGGTCCGGAGGCGATGCTGGGGGCCCAGGCGGAGGCGGAGGAGGGCGGTGGGTGGGAGGGAGCCGCCGCCACCGCAGCCGGCGCACCTGGACGTCGTGCCCCCCGCGTCCGGCAGGTGTCGCCTGCCCCCCACCCGCCGCAGGTCCGCTCATCATCGGGTGTCCCCGTCGCTCCTGTGGCTCCTCCGCGGTGCGGCCTGTCCGAGCGCCTACTGTCCTTTCTCTCGGACGCACACCCAGAAGGGCAGTGGCTCGATGGAGAATTTTTTGTCTGATCCAAATCAGTGATTCCTCAGTCAGTAAAAGGGAGGGGGGTGGACCTTTGTGTCCCAGTCTTCCCCCACCCTGGGGGGGGGGGGGCGTGACCTTGGGTGTGGCCAAGGGCAGCGTCCAGGGAGGGACAGGCTGTCCACTCAGCGGCCAACACTCCCAGCCACTGAGGAGCGGGAAATACTTTGAAACTGTGTGAACACCCTATTCCTCCTTAGACGGAAAGGCCGTTTTTAATACCAAAGAGGCAGCGAGGGGGGTGTGGATTCTGAATAAAGGAGGCTGTTTGGGGTGGAAGAAACTGAGCCCCATCAAAACCCACCCGGGCTCGTGGGGGGGTCGGTTGGTGGGTGCCCTTTGGCAAAAGATCATTGATATCTGGGAAGTGGCTGATAACCCAGCAGTTCCGCAGCTGGGTGTTTATCCTCAGAAAGTCGTACCTCGAGTCACCAAAGGGGACGCGCCAAGTGGCCGGAGCCGCCCTGTTCATGGTGGCCCCGAACTGAAATTGAACCAAATGCCGGTGACGGGAGGAGCGAGGGACAGCACAGCACGGTGCCTGCGGTTGACAATACTTAACAAGGCCGTGTCGTCCACTTGAAAGTTGCCAAGAGAGCTGATCTTAAAAGTTCTCATCACAAGAAAAAAAAGAAATTGTAACTATATGTGGTGATGGATGCTGACTAGACACTTATGGTGCTGAGCGTTTCGCAATATAGACAAATATCGAATCGTTACGCTGTACACCTGAAGCTAGAAGGATGTTACAAGTCCGTTGTATCTCAAGTAAAACAAATAAACAGAAAATACTGATAAGAAAGAAACAAGAATGGACGAATAGATGGTGGGATGTTCGCCCGGGGGAATCGTCTTCGGCAAGGAGAATTGATAAACAGCGACCACGTGTGCCAATACGATTTATCACACAAACGTATTGTTGAGTGGCAGATAATAACCAGATTCCCGTCGGGCAATTCCATTTCCATAAAGTTAAAAAAGGGCAAAAATTAAACACGATTTTTAGGGATGCTAATGCTGTTGTAAATTTATAAAGAAAAAACATCAAAAGTTTCCTTTTGTGTAAAAATGGAGGAAATTTCATAAGAGAATCAATTCACCGAGAGGACCCAGAAATCTGAAATATGCACGAAATAGATGGAGCAAAATGTGACAGAACCCAGAGAAAGGGACAATTCCACAATTACGCTTCAAAACGTCCACACTCCTCTCTCAGCAACCGATAGAGTAAGAGACAGAATATTAGCAAGAACATAGGGGATCGAAGAGACATCGTCACCCGAATAGACTCGCACAAATACGGTGAAATGACTTTTGGCCAACGTAGAAAGGCAATTCGACGCGGAAGGACCATCTTTTCAACAAATGGCGCTGGGACAAAAGGATATCCATATGCAAAAAAATAATTTTAAAAAAAGGAACCTCAATCTAGACAAAATGAACTCAGAATGGATCACAGATCTAAACGTCAAATGTAAATCACTATAACTCCTCGAAGAAAACATGAGAGAACATCTTTGTGGCTTCAGGTTTGGCAAATCGTTCTTAGCTACGACACCAAAAAGCACCATCCATATAGGAAAAAAATGGATAAATTGAACCTCACCCAAATTACAAGCTTTTGCTCCACAAAGGACACAGGGAAGAGGGTGGCATGCCAAACCACAGACTGGGGGGAAATGTTTGCAAATCACCTCCCCAAGAAAGGACTCGTGTCCAGAATATATAAACAATTCTCAAGACGCAATAACAAGAAAACAATCTAGTAAAGGAAACATTTGAACAGGCGTCTCGTCAAGGTAGATACACGGGTGACACGTGAGAAGATACTCAACGTCCTCACTGATCACGGAGATGCAGGTGAAATTCCCAGTGAGACACCATCGCGTGTATCTGAAAATGGCTAAAGCGAAAAATACAGACAATACCAAGTGCCGGCGAGGATGCAGGGCGACTGGAACTCTCATACGTTGCTGGCGGGGATGCGAAATGGTACGGCCACCTCGGGGACCAGAGAAAGCAAATACAACGCCCCGTGAATTTTAAGAATGAAAAACGAAATAAATCTTGGTACTGAAGAGTTCTTCCCAAACAGAGACACACGGTGCATGGCAGAGCGATGCAGACCACGGTGACCGGGGGGAAGGAGGAGGTCCCCATCGCACAGAACTCCTGGGGGCCCCTGGGGGGTCGGCCTGATGGGCCTCACAGGGGTGTTGGCCTCACAGGAGCCGATCAGGTTGTATATTCACATTTTACGCGTTTCCTGTATGTGTGTGTGTTTTCAAAGACGCACGCTGGCTCGCCCGACTTCCCGAATGGACTAGAACGTGACAAATGTCCCGAACGGCACCGGCATGTGGAAAGGAAGCAGCTGGCCCGTTTGGGGAACTGAAAACGGACGTTTGTTTTGAAGCTGGAGGAATTCGCAGGGGCCGGGCCCCCGGAGGAGGGGGATCGAGAAGCTGGCTGGTTACTCTGAGGTCAGTGGGAGCCATGGAGGGAGTCAGACCAGGCCTGACACCGGTCCTGTTGTGACATGCCAAGGGCCTGGGGTCCCCCACCCGGAGACGGACAGCAGGGAGATGCCCGGGGTGGGGACGGCCCTCGTGTTCCCGGCACGCCGGGCTGTGACTCAGCCGGCCACCCCAGCTGTTCCTTTCTGCAGCCCAGCAGCCCTCCCAGCTCTGCCAGGCCAGACGCATTTCTGCTTTTCTTCACCTGCCCGGAGTGGGAAGTCGCCCGGGGCCCCCGGCTCGGGAGCGCCCCTCCTCTCGGCTGCTCATCCGGTTGAGGGCGGGAGGCTGGCTGGGCGGGGCAGCGCCCACCAGTGACCCAACGGTGGTGGGGGGCAGGGCCCGGGGTGGGGGCCCTATCGAACTTCCCATCTGCCATTCGTTGTGAATTAACGGCAAAGAAAACCGCACGCTGCGACCCGCCGGGGGCGTGGGGGAGGGGTGACGGTGGCTGCTGTGTGACCCCAGGCGTGTCACTCCACCTCTCTGAGCCTCGCTGGGACCATCTGGGAGGGATCCAGAGGCTCTCCGAATCGTGTGTATCTGCACAGGGGGTTTGATCCGGAACTTTCTAGAGCATTCTAGAACCTCTCAGATGGGGTTCTGCACCCAAACACGGCAAAGAGCTGCTGGGTTGGAGACAGTCTGTGACCTCCCCTTTGACTGTGAGTGTCTAGGAGGCAGCCATATGTGCACCCCACGGTCCTCGTCCTACTTCTAGGGTCCTGAGGACAACGGGGGTCCAGGCAGGGGGCCTGGCGGCCTCGTTGGGAAGGTCCTGGGCCAGGCTGCTGTCTGACTCCTCCCCCTGGGCCCAAATGTCATCTTGTCAGCATGACCTCCGTGACCCATTTATAGCCCCAACCCCAGCCCCCCCACATGCCCGGCCCCCTTCTCTGCTTTAGTTTTTGCTTAGACTGAACCGCCATCCAACAGGCTCAAATATTTTTAAAAATGTCCAGAATGCCTGGTACACAGTAGGCGCTCAATAATTGCGCAAAGAATGCACAGCCCCTCCCCACAGCTGCCTGGTCAGCGTTTAGACCCTGGGCCCCCACGGGGGAGAGATGACTCCCTGCCCCGTCTCCTCCCAATCCTGCGGCCCCCGGCAAATGTCTTCATGGCTGTGTGCCTCATTTTCCCTGTCTGCACATCAGGATGATAACATTAACTCGGGGCGATGTGCGCAGGAAATGAATCCATACAAGAGCACGGCACGCAGCAGGTGCCCCCTGGATTCGGCTGTTTTTTGAGAAAGGATCATGGTTGGTATTGGGAGGACAGCTCCTCATTGGCTCAGAGGAGGGGGTGGGCCTGGGCACAGCAGGGGGCGGCGTCAGAGGCCCTTCACCAGAATGAGGAAGGAGGGCCCAGCAGGTTGCTGCCGGTGCCCCGACTGCGTGCTGGCAGGCAGGCGTTCCTTGGGGCCGCCCCGCCCTCCCTGGGTGCCCACCTCATCTCGTGCCACCCACAGCCTGTCTGGCCAGGCCCGGGCAGGTCTGAGGATGGGTGGGGAGCCCTGAGCCTCACCCCCTCTCTCCGCCGCCGCCTCCGCCCGCCCCGCCCTGGGCCCGGCACTCAGGCCTCGCTGAGCTGGGCCCTCCTGGTGCCTGAGGCTGAGAAATCGGGGGTCCCTGAGGGGGTCCCCGGAACCGGCCGGGTGGGGGTGCCCTCCCCAGGGGGGCCGGGGCCATGCCCCCTGGCGCCCTCTGAGCCCCGACCATGGCCCGCTCGCTGACCTGGCGCTGCTGCCCCTGGTGCCTGACGGAGGAGGAGAAGACGGCGGCCCGGATCGACCAGGAGATCAACCGGATCCTCTTGGAACAGAAGAAGCGGGACCGCGGGGAGCTGAAGCTGCTGCTGCTGGGTGAGCCCAGGGCCCGGCGGGGGCGGGCAAGGGGGGTGACACGAAGACAAGGACTCGGAGGAGGGCCCGAGGAGGGGACCCTCAAATCCCTCGGGGGCCGGGAGAGCCTGGAAATCCATTTTCCAGATGAGGAGACTGAGGGCCAGAGTGGCCCAGTTGCTCGTCCAAAGGTGTGGGCGCTGGGCCCGTCCACAAGAACGGAGGTGGCTCGGCCGGGCGGCCCGACGGGGACCCGCTCCTGCCCAGCAGGCCCAGCCCGCCCTACCGGCTGCTGCGTCACGGGAAGGGAGCGAGGACGCGGGGCCGCGAGCCCGGCTTTCCCTCCCTACGCGGCCGGCCCGGGAAGGCGGAGGGCCCCCCCGGGTGGCTCTGGAGGTCGCTTAGCCCAGGTCCTCGGGGTAGACCGTGGGTTCGTTCATTCATTCCCGCCGCGTCAGGGAACTCGTGGGGACATCGTCTTCCGGGCCGGGGACAGGCGTGAAGCCTGTCAACTAACAAGTGGAGTGACTTCCGGCAGCGAGAGTCGCCCCGGGCGAGGGAGCCGGAGGGACTCGGGGGTGGGGGGGGGAGGTGGCCATTGTAAGGTTCCGAGATGTGACCTCAGAACCTCGAATCTTGTCGCCCGCGGGGGTCCGCTTCCCCAACCTCCTGGCTGTGCGTGTGGCTCCGCCCGCCAGCCTAATCCTGGGGACTGCGGCCCCGAAGGGACCCCCCTGAGCCCTGGGAGGGGGGCTGGGGAAGGGCCCGGGTGTCCCCAAGTGACCTCTGCCTGCCCGGGGCAAATAGGCTGGTCATTAGCTCGGTCGCCCTCTCTGTTCCCTTGCCCGGTGGGCCAGGCAGCCCCATGGAGTGGAGAGAGAGCAGAGAGGGAACTCTGGGACCCCCGGGAGCGGCACCTCCACAGGGCCCCTCTGATTCGGGTCTGGAATCAGGCAGAGGAATTTCCTCCCCATCCTCGGAGGAGAGCCTGGGCGGCGTGAAATTCAGACTCTCGGGCCCCAGCTCACCGCCCCGCCATAGTCCTTCAGCTGCAGCCCCCCGGCCCCTCCACCCACCGCATGGGTCTTGTTTCCCTTAAATGTTTGGGAAAATCATCAATGAAGCCATCTGAGCCCGGAAGTTTTAATTAAGAACTTAATTTCTTTAATAGCCGGGCTATTATTATATTAATAATATATGTGGTCTCTGATATTTATTAATTTTTAATAAATAGGGCGATTGAGGCTACCTATTTCTTCTTGAGCGAGCTTCGGCTATTGGGGTCTTTTAAAGAATTTGTCAGTTTCTTCAAAGTCGAGCGGACGAGTGTGAAGTTGCTTATGACGTTCCCTCGTCTGTAGGACCCGTAGTGATGGCCCCTTTCTCATGCTGTGTCTCGAGCTCTCTGATCCATCAGGCCAGGGGTTTATCCACGTTAGGGATCTCTCCGCGCACATCTCGGGTTCACTTGTCTGTGCCTCGGGGCCTTTGCACTTGCCATTCTCCCCGTTAAGAACGTGGCGGGCGCTCCCACTCAAGGCAGGTGGCAGCTCAAGTGTCCCCTCCTCCGAGAAGCTTTCCCTGATTTCCCCCAGCTACAAAGGCAGCCCCATGCTTCTCCTTCCTTTGTGACTTTCCGTCCTGTTTTGGGGCCACTTTCCCCAGAGCTGTGCCGCATCTTCCCGGAGCTGGGACGGTCCCTTGCCCAGCTCCACTCTGACCACCGCACAGCCAGCCCCAAATCAGGAAGCCCCTTCTGCTGGTGCGGGGGTAGGGGGACAAAGACGGGAGGGGGGCTGCTCATGTCCCCCAGCGCCCACGGTGGCACTTGGACAGCCCTGGCGACTGTGGTTTGCACCACCCCCACCCCAGCCCCACGGCCGCCTCTGCACCCCGCTCCCTTCTTGAAAACAGGAATTGAATCCAAAAGTTATTTTTTTCCTGGAGGCGACTCATCTGTTTGAGGAAGCGGCCGAGGGTCGGGGGTCTGTCCGTGACAGACAGTGCTGACCCCCTCGGGGAGGGGGGGAGTCAGAAGGAGGCAATGAATGGGGCCGACTCTGTCCATGGCGCTGGAGGCAAGTACTTCTCGCATCCCCGGATGGAGAAACTGAGGCCCAGAGAGGTGAAGCGACTTGCCCGAGGCGGCACAGCCAGGATCTGAACCTAGGATTCCGGTTCCAAAGCCTGTGCGTTCACCTGACCGCCTTGAGAATGTGCGGCGGGAGAGAAGAGCCACAGAACCCCCATGACAGATGGGGAAACTGAGGCCCAGGGAGGTGGCAGGAGTGGTCTGAGGCCCAGTGGGATGTGGAAACTGAGCCGCCTGCCCCCCGGCTGCCCAGGCCTGGCTCCCCGTGGCCCTAGCACCTTGTTTCTGGGGCGGGCAGGGTGGGTGGGGGTGCCGGCCCCCGGGGAGGGGGCCTCTCGGGATGCCCGGGGCTGGGCCCGCTGCTCCCCATGTCTGCCGGCTCCCACTTCCTCCTCCCGCCCCCGGAGGAAGCCGCCACTTCCCGTCGGGGCTGCGCGGCGGTGGCAGCCAGGTGGACACGGCCACCCCGCAGCCCCCCGCCCGCCCCTCGCGGACCGGGAGCGGGTGCTGGACGGGCTCCCGAGTCCCCGGGGCCCGAGGACAGGCGCGGGCCGCAGACGGGGCCCCGCCCGGCCTGGGTCTCCAGACTTCAGGCTCTGACCCGTCCGTGAGTCACGACGTCCGCGGTGCGGGCGGCGGCCAGGAATTTTTTTTCTTTAATGAAACCGAAGAGAAGAGAAAAAAAATCAGTGCGTGTCCACGCGGGGACCTGGTCCTTCCGGGGACCTCTGTTCTCTACCTTTTTGGGGAGACCCAGGGCCGTCACCCACAGCCCCCGAGCCTCCTGGCGGCCACGTGTCCGGAGAAACCGCGAGTGGCTCAGATTGAGAGGATGCCCGGGCCAGTCGACGGGCCGCGTCCCGTTTTGTGGCAGGACCCGTAAGGGCTCGAGTTGGCGCCTCTGATTCCCCGCTGGCTGTGTGACCCTGGGAAAGTCACATCACCTCTCTGAGCCCCCCGCACGGATGGGAAAACAGTGGGAATCTTCGTGAGGATTGAGCCAGGACACGCACAGCGGACCGTGGCCCCAGGCCTGGCAGGTGCCGAGAGTCCATCATGCTCGCCGGGATGGTGATGATGACGGTTACTATTATGGGTGGTTGTTATTGTTGAGGCAGCGCCCGGGGAACTTCCTGGGATGATAATTATAAAGCCCATGAGCTCTGGACTCAGCCAGGATTGGGGTGGAGTCCCCGCTCGGCCACTCACCAGCTCCACGACCCTAGGAATCAGTCCCCTTAGCCGATCTGGGACTCAGTTTCCCCACATGAAAAGGGGGGCTTAGAGTCGTCCCTCTCTCACCGCGACCCTGGGCAAACTGGTCCCGTGCAGCACCCAGGGCCTTGGGAGCGCGCAGTCAAGGGCCCCGGGGCTCGCAGCTGCCTCTGCCGGCCCCAAATGGCCGAGGCTCCGAAGACCGGCCAGTCCACCGGCTTCGTCCGTGGGCAGGAGGGCTGCCGGCTCGTCTCGCTGACCGTGTCGTTCAGATGCTCCCCTGCGGGAACAGTTAGTGCGCTTGACGTGTCCCTGTCTAACATCCCAGAGATTCCAGAATCTGCGACACATACAGCCCCACGCTGGCGAGCTTCACATGGCGGACCTGGGGCGTGGGGTTTTTTTTTCTTTTTTTTTTGAGTAAGATTAGCCCTGAGCTAACTGCTGCCAATCCTCCTCTTTTTTTTTTTTTTTTTTTGCTGAGGAAGACTGGCCCTGAGCGCACATCTGTGCCCATCTTCCTCTACTTTCTATGTGGGACGCCTACCACAGCATGGCGTGCCAAGCGGTGCCATGTCCACACCCAGGATCCGAACTGGCGAACCCCGGGCCGCCAAAGCGGAACGTGCACACTTAACCGCTGTACCGCTGGGCCAGCCCCGGGTTGTTTTTTTTAAGGAAACTTTTTATTTTGGAGTAATTTTAGACGCACAGAAAAGTGGCAAAGCTGCTGAGACTCCCTGGGTCCTGTGACCAGCTTCCGCTCAAGGGCATGTCCGATGTCACCCCTGGGCATAGGTCACAGCCCAGAAATTAACCCGGAACCCGGGACCTGACATTGACGAAACTCCAGACTGTGGATTTTACGGGTGTTTCCCCCGAGGCCCCTTTTTCCGTTTCACTTTCCAATCAGGCATCTCACTCGGCATGTCAGGCTTTTTCTTTCTGTTTCTTAACTTTTTATTTTGAAAGACTCCCAGACTCAGAGAAACGTTGCCCCCAGATTCTGCAGATGTTCACATTTTATGGTTTTTTTTTTTTGAGGAAGACTGGCCCTGAGCTAACTGCTGCCAATCCTCCTCTTTTTTTGCTGAGGAAGTCTGGCCCTGAGCTCACATCGGTGCCCATCTTCCTCTACTTTCTATGTGGGACGCCTACCACAGCATGGCGTGCCAAGCGGTGTCACGTCCGCACCCGGGATCCGAACCGGCGAACCCCGGGGCTGCTGAGAAGCGGAACGTGCGCACTTAACCGCTGCCCCACTGGGCCGGCCCCCATTTTAAGTTTTTTTTATCATCTCTGTCCTCTCTCTCTCTCTGAACACGTAACACACAATTTATAAGTGGACGTGCATCTACTTAGACTTTATATAATGCACAATTATATCGAAAATTTATTTACCGTACATTTCTATATTTCATACATACCTATTCATTCTTTTTTTCTGAACCGTTTGCAAGGAAGTTACAGACCTGACAGCTTTTTACCCCAAAATGCCTCATCAGTGGGTTTGAGTTCCACAAAAAAGCCAAACCCGTCGTCCTCCCGCGAGCCTGACTGCCATCCCGCCACTTTGTCCCAGTTTTCCAGCTCATGTCCTGGAGGGCAGAGAAAGTGACCCTTCTTCTCGGCCCTTGAGTCCAGCCGCTTCATTAACACCTGGTGTCACCCCAGACCTGCCCTTGCTGTCCTCTGATGGACCGGAGGCGGGTTGGGGACAGGGCCCCCCGCACGTGGGGACGGGGGGACAAATGCCACATCCTAGCTCCCCTTCCCTCCGCCTCCAGCTCCCTCTCGCCTCCCCGCTCCTCGCCCTCTGCTCCCATTTCCTCTTTCTGGGCTCCAGCCGGGCCACCCCTTCCCTTTTTGCTGCTCGGTCCAGTTCCTCCTGCCCCGAGCCCCTCCCGCCCCGGGAAGGACCCCATGCCCGTGTCCCCAGGAGCCGCAGAGGGGACAGTTTACAGATGAGAAAACAGAGGCCCAGAGAGAGCCAGATCTCGGGGCTCAGACAGTGGGGGGCCGAGCCTCCGTCTTCCAGCTTCTGGCCCCCGGCTCTGGAAGATTCCAGTGTCACGATCACAAACCGGGGGCCCGAGTCGCGGGTGTGCGGCCTGCGCTCGGAAGGGCCCTGTGGTCTCGTCTTGACCTCGGCCCTGTGGATTCTGCAGACGCCCTGCAAGGACGCTCTCCCCACTGTGGTCCATCGGCAAGGCCATGTCGATCTGCCTCCCAAATATCTCTGGAATGTGCCCCCTTCTCTCCAGCTCCACCGCGGCCGCCTGGTCCCCCAGCATTGCCCCCTGGACCTGCCCCGTCCCCTCCCTGCCCTCCCTCCTCCTTTTCTCCCTCTCTCCCCCTCCTCCCTCTGCTCCAGCCACACAGGCTCCTCGCTGTTCCTCCCACACGCCAGGCCTGGGCCTGCCCCTGCCCCAGGGCCTTTGCACAGGCTGTGCCCGCTACCTGGAATGCTCTTCCCGGAGATCTTGGCATGAGAGCAACCTTCCCAGCCTTCAGATCTCAGCCCCACAAGCCACCCCCACCGAGAGGCCTTCCTTGACCCTCAGCTCTGGTGGTCACCTGTTCATTCCTTGCCCTGTTCATCCTGTTTTATTGCCTTCATACAAGTTTCTCTATCTGAAATTATCATAGCAAGTAATAAGGGGAATTATTACCATGCTAAACATACTTCGGTCACTCTTACTATGTCTAGTCTCCTATAAACCGGGATCCACAAATTTTCTCCGTAAAAGGCCAGATAGTAAATATTTCCAGCTTTGTGAGCCCGACGGTCTCTCTCTGACGGCTCAACTCTGCTGTTGCAGCCAGAAAGCAAAATAGGCAACTCGTAAAGGAATGGGTGTGGCCGTGTGCCAATAAAACTTTATTTGCGAATGCCGCAACCTGAATTTCATATAATTTTCACGTCACCCAATAGTCTTCTTTGGATTCCTTTCAACTATTTAAAAAATGTCAAAGCCGTAACCGTGAAAACCGGGAGAAACATAAAAACGGTGCAAATGGTAAAAACTTGGGTGCCGCGCGAAAACGGATTGGGGGCGGCATTCGGCCCGCGGGCCTCAGTTTTGGAGCCCTCCCGGGGCAGCTGACAATGAACTCCATCAGCCCCGCACATCCACGAGCAGGCAGGGCCTCCTGCGATCCGCCTTTTCCAGATGGGGAAACTGAGGCACAGAGCGGTTTCAGCCCTGGCTGAGCGGGGATTTGAACCCCGGGGGTTGGGGAGCGGGGAGTGTCCGGGGTTCGGAGCCCGCGGAGGGCTGAGCCGATCGCGCGTCTCCGCAGGCCCCGGGGAGAGCGGGAAGAGCACGTTCATCAAGCAGATGCGTATCATCCACGGGGCCGGCTACTCGGAGGAGGACCGCAAGGGCTTCCGGCCCCTCGTCTACCAGAACATCTTCGTCTCCGTGCGCAACATGCTCGAGGCCATGGAGCGGCTGCAGATCCCCTTCAGCCGGCCCGAGAGTAAGGTGAGCGGCCGGGGCCCCTAGGACTTGGGGGGGGGGGCGGCCTGTCCTAATGGACCCCCAAGGCGGAGCTGTGTCCCCTCGGACCCACCCCCCGGGATCCTCCCCTCCATTCCAGGCGGCTGGGCCCCCGCAGGGTCCCCCCACCTCGTGTCGCCTCCAGCGGAATCCTGTCCCCTTGTCTGTATCCCTCCGTCCATCTCTGGACATCAGGTGACCGCCCCTGCTCAGCTATTGTGAACAGCCCTGCAGCCAACGCGGGCCTGCTGCTCTCTTTTCCAGATCCCGATTTCAATTCCTTTGGCTAACCCCCGAGAAGGGGCCTTGCTGGATCCCATGGTAGCCCTAGGGTTCGTTTCTGGGGGACCCTGCTTGCTGTTTTCCACATTGACACATTTCCACATTGACATCCCCCCTCCTCAGGGCACAGGGTGGAGGGGAGCGCAGTTTCTCCACATCTCCCCCCCCAACGCTTGTGTGTGTGTTTTTTAATTATTATTATTTTTTTACTTTTTTTATTTTTGAGGAAGATTGGCCCTGAGCTAACATCTGCTGCCAATCCTCCTCTTTTTGCTGAGGAAGACTGGCCCTGAGCTCACATCCGTGCCCATCTTCCTCTACTTTATACGTGGGACGCCTACCACAGCATGGCTCGATGAGCAGTGCCATGTCCGCACACGGGATCCAAACTGACGAACCCCGGGCTGCTGAAGTGGAACGTGCGCACTTAACCACTGTGCCAGCCAGCCGGCCCCTAGAAGTTCTTAATTTTAATGAAGTCTAACGTATCAATCTTTTCTGATTAATGTGTTTATTTTTTTTGCGGCCAGTTTAAGAAATATTTTTGTACCCCAAGGTCCTGGTGAAATTTTCTATTGCTATCTTTTAGGAGCTTTATCGTTTCACATTTAAATTCACATTCCACCTAGAATTGATTTTTTTCGTGTAGGGTGCGAGGCAGGGATCAAATTTCTTTGCTTTTTTTTTTTTTTCTATGTGGATATTCGATTGTTCCAGCATCATCTATTGAAAAGACCATCCTTTGCTCCCCGTACTACAATCTCACTGTTGTCATAAGTCATGTGTCCTAATGTGTCTGGATCTGTCAGTGCTCACTGTTCTCTTCCATGGTCTGTTTATCTCTGAACGAATATCGTTTCAAGTTATGACTGTAGCTCCCTAGTGTAATCTTGACATCCACTAGTGTAAATGCTTCCACTTGTGTCTTCTCCCGAATTGCAGTGGCTACTCCAGGCCCCTTGCATTTCTATATAAGTTTAGAATTATCAATTTTTGCACACACACACACACACACACACACACCCCTTTCTGGAGTTTTGGTTAGGATTGCATTGAATCCATAGATCAATTTGGGGAGAATCAGCAACTTAAAAACACTGCTTCTTCCAATCCATGAACATAGTATATCCCTCCAGTTATTTTCCTCTTTCAAATGTTTTCTTAGCGATGTTTTGTCCATTTCAGTGTGGAGAGTTTTCACGTCTATCGACAGATTTATTCCTAGGTGTTTGATCCCTTCTGGTGCTGCTATAAATGAGATTTAAGGTTTTTAAAATTTCCGCTAGCTGGTGCTTAGCGTATAGACACACATTGGATTTTTGCTTATTGATCTTGCATTCGGGGCCTTGGTTAAATTCACTTGCTTATTCGAATAGCTTATCTCTAGACTATTCTGGATTCTCTGCATACGGTCATCTCATCCGTGAACAACCACCGTGTAATTTATTCGCTTCCAAACCTGGTGCCTTAGATTCCTTTTTCCTGTGTGGTTGCACTGGCCAGGACCTCAGCTTGGTGTTCGTTAGCAGCAGGAACGGACATCCTTGTCTCATTCCCAGGCCCAGAGCACAGTCCCCTACCTTTTAAAATCTTCAAGGACCCTCATTTGCTTCAATCAAAGCACATTACGATCTACTGAGGGCCTTCCTTGAATATAATTTTTACTGTGAATTTTTTTTTTTTTGAGGAAGATTAGCACTGAGCTGACATCTGCTGCCAGTCCTTCTCTTTTTGCTGAGGAAGACTGGCCCTGAGCTAACATCCGTGCCCATCTTCCTCTACTTTATGTGTGGGACACCTGCCACAGCATGGCTTGCCAATGTCCACACCCAGGATCTGAACCGGCGAACCCCGGGCTGCCAGAGCAGAACGTGCGCACTTAACCACTGTGCCACCGGGCCGGCCCCTACTGTCACTTTTTCAAAGGATGTTTCCTTAAATTTCTGCTTTTAAAATTATTGCCCATTTTGATTGTCCATGTTTTTCAAAACTTCGGAGCCAATATATTTTCAGGCTGTGTATTTTTCTGCTCGGGCCGCCATAACAAAGTGCCACAGCCAGCGCAGCTTAAACAACAGAAATTTACTTGCTCATAATTCTAGACTTAGAAGTCCGAGATCCAGGTGTCACCGGGGCTGGTTCCTCTGTGGCCTCTCTCCTCGGCCTGCAGATGGCCATCGTCTCCGTGTATCCTCACATGGCCATCCCTCGGTGCCTGTCCGTGTCCTCATCTTCTCTTCTTATGAGGATACTGGTCCTATTGGGTCAGGGCCCAACTTAGTGATCTCATTCTAACTTTACCTCTGTAGAGACCCAGCTCCAGATAAGGTCACCTTCTGGGGTCCTGGGGGTTACGGCTCCGATGTGTGAATTTGCAGAGGGCAGGGGGAGTTGAGGACACAGTTCAGCCCATAACAGGCTGCAGGCTTTTTCATTGATCCTACACAGGTCACATGCCTGCATATACACACTCAGATGCACACACACGTGCAAATGCCCACAAATGCACACACAGGCGCATGTGCCCACACAAACACAAATCCACATGCACGCGCAAGGACACACCCAAGTGCGCGCACAGACACCAGTGCACCTGCAGGAGCACAAGTCACATGTGTGCACGTACAAATACACACATGATGCACGCACACACACAAGTGCATACGTGTGTGCTCACACAAATACACGTGCACGCGCACACTCAGGCCATCACAGAGGTCTCAGCGACACTGGTGCTTGATCCCGGTGGAAGGAAAGGAGGACAGAGGAGCACAGGTTGCTGTGGGGACGGAGGGGGAACTCTTTCCCTCGGCGCCCCCCGCCACCCCGTGGATAAATGCATGAAGGGAGGAGGGAGCAAATCGGAGGGGCCGATGGAGCGGGCAGAGCACAGGCCACGGTGCATGTGGAGGCAAGTGGCTCCGGGATGGGAAGGAGAGGCAGTGGGGGCAGGAGGGCAGGGGGCTCCTGGAGACGTGTGGAGGGCAGCCCCGCCCCACAGCAGCCCTGACCCGCTCCGTCCGTCCCCCCAGCACCACGCCAGCCTGGTCATGAGCCAGGACCCCTACAAGGTGACCACCTTCGAGAAGCACTACGCCGTGGCCATCCAGTGGCTGTGGAGGGACGCGGGGGTCCGGGCCTGCTACGAGCGTCGGCGCGAGTTCCACCTGCTCGACTCCGCCGTGTAGTGAGTCTGCGGTCCCCGGGCGAGGGGCGGGGGTGGGGCTGAGGGCCAGGCGGGCACTGGGCACAGCGGCAGCCGAGACGCAGCCAGCGGAGACCCGGTCCCGGGGGGCGGGATCCCGACAGAGGGTCCCCAGGCTGCTGGCGGCTCCCCCCGCGCGGACATGGTGTGCGGCGCAGGCTGGCCGTGGGGATGGTCTTGCTGCAGGGTGACTCTATCCCGGGGTGACACAGCTCCTGGGGTGACGCTGCTCATCATCACGCAGCAACATGTGCTGGGCGTCTAGAGAGATCTGGCACCTGCGAGCCTGCTCTCGGGCCATCAGTGTGCTTGGGGCAGTGCCACTCCAGGGGGTGACAGCTCCCCCAAGGTGACACCCCTCCCTAGTGACTGACACTCCCACGGCTTCAGGCTGCTGCTCCTGAGCCACCTGCAGACCCCAGGGGTCCCGGCCCCTCCCCAGGGGTTTCCCGCCCTCCCCAAGCAGGGTCCTCCCACTGGGCCCTGCCTGGGTGGGGTGGGGGGTCTGAGAAGCTAAGGGGGCTGCCAGGCCGGGCCTCAGGGCTCCTCACTCCACAGCTACCTGTCCCACCTGGAGCGGATCACGGAGCCTGACTACATCCCCACGGCACAGGACGTGCTCCGCAGCCGCATGCCCACCACCGGCATCAACGAGTACTGCTTCTCCGTGCAGAAAACCAACCTGCGGTGAGCGCACGGCCTGGCGGGTGGGCAGGCTTCCTGCCGGAAGGGCGAAGGAGCTGGGGCCCTGAGGGATGAGTAGGAGTTTGCTCGTCCCAGCCCTCACAGGGCTTCCAGGCTGAAGGAGGCAAAGCTGGACACACACACCTCCAGCGCCCCCCTGCAGTCACGACTGGGACCTGGAAGAGCCCAGAGTGAGGCACTAGAGCTCCAGGAGGGGAGGTCTTCCTGGAGGAGGGGACATTGGTATTGGGGCATTGAAGGATGAGTAGGAGTTCACTAGTGCCCACCTTTGAGGGGCTGCTGGGCAGAACCAGACAGAGACTATGTGGTCCGGGCTATGCCAGAGGGAATGGTTCAGGGCAGGAAAGCTCAGAGGGTGAGCCCTCTAGTGGCCAATGAGGAGGTAAGGCTGGAGGTCAGAAGACTCAGAAGGAGGCAGGAACCACAGTCCAGGCAGGAAGGGTGGGTAAGGGCCAGGGCAGTGGCCGTGGGGATGGAAATGAGGGGATGGCGCAAAAATTGTTTCTGAGGTAGAATGGGCAGCGGGGTGGGGAGGCTCAGATACGATGGTGAAGTCATTGGGGCAGGTTGAGTCTGAGGGGTCTGGAGCATCTGGGAACTGGCTGGATGCACAAAGCCTGAGCTGGAAGACAGAGGTGTGAGCGGCCAGAGCAGCAAGGGGTCGTCCAGGGAGAGTGACGGCCAGTGTCAAAGGCCAAGGAGAGGTCAGGAAGAATATAGGACAGTGAGAGGGACATCAATGACCTTAGCAAGCTCGGCATCTGTGGGCTGATGGCGGGAGCTGTGGAAGGTGCGGGGTGATGCCTGGAGACACAGGTTCTACCCACCCATGTTGAGTCTCTCCCAAGAGAGCCTGGACCGCCCCCCAAACGTGCTGTTCTGGCCTCGGCAATGGTCTTTACCAGGAAACTTCCTAATTTGTCTGTTTGCCATGGGTCTCCTCCACCAGACGGAGAGCCCCACAAGGTCAGGGGACGAGTCTGATTCTCCTG